GCTACTGGGGGCTCCTGGCCTTACTAGTAGGAACAATGTTCGCTACTAGGAGCCCCTGGCCATACTACTAGGAACAATGTTCGCTACTAGGGGCTTCTGGCCTTACTACTAGGAGCAAGGACACTACTAGGGGCTCCTGGCCTTACTCCTAGGAACAATGTTCGCTACTAGGAGCCCCTGGCCATACTACTAGGAACAATGTTCGCTACTAGGGGCTTCTGGCCTTACTACTAGGAGCAAGGACACTACTAGGGGCTCCTGGCCTTACTCCTAGGAACAATGTTCGCTACTAGGAGCTCCTGGCCTTACTACTAAGAGCAAGGACGCTACTAGGGGCGGCTGGCCTTACTACTAGGAATAATGTTCGCTACTAGGAGCTCCTACTAGGAGCAAGGACGCTACTACTGGCTCCTGGCCTTACTAGTAGGAACAATGTTCGCTACTAGGAGCTCCTGGCCTTACTACTAGGAACAGTGTTCGCTACTAGGAGCTCCTGGCCTTACTACTAGGAACAATGTTCGCTACTAGGGGCTCCAGGCCTTTCTACTAGGACCAATGTTCGCTACTAGGGGCTCCCGGCCTCACTACTAGGAACAATGTTCGCTACTGGGAGCTCCTGGCCTTACTACTATGAATCCATTGTATTTTGTGTAGCTACACTTGAATGATACTCTTGAGGTGTTTCTCACATATCTCAAGCATGACAGTATCCAAGAAAAGAGTTTGTTGGATGTATTCAAATTGCCCGTGGTTTAACTATATAAAGTCCACAGTTTTTTCAACAGGTCACAGATGGTTTGAATGAGTCGTTGGAACAAATCATTTTCATGGAGGATGTTGCATGTCAATACTTTTCGATGGGATGGTTGAGAGAAAGATTCGTGCTGAAACATCGATGCATGTTGTGTGTCCGACGACTAACGTAGAACATTTCGTCGACGTTGACATTTGCCTTTTTTAAAACTATGTTCACTTATATAGGTTGTTGTGAAACAACTCATGAATCAAAGGTTTGTTTGTGTTGACTTAGTGGGTGTCCGGCCACAGACCTTCTTGAAAACAACCAAAGAGGAAACCAAGACATAGAATCTTACTTGACCAAAAGAGCAAAACCTTGAGGACGCGGAAAGAGAGAGAGAGAGAGAGAGAGAAAGAGAGAGAGAGAGAGAGCTTGACAAGAACTAAAGGGACCACAGGAAGAACTAAAAGAATGATAGGACAAGCAGTTCAAAAGACATACAACCAGACATGCAATTATGCAGACTGAAGTGAGCCGTGGCATTGATAGATAGCACCAAACCAATCAGGTAGAAAAGTAGGAGAGAAGATATCACAGAGGAGGCTGTCAGCATAAAAGGGCAACACATGTGACGAAAGTAGAGCTGAGGAAGAGGAAAAAGGTAGATCATGGGGGAAGGGCATGATTTTTAGTTGAGGGTAAACCATGCACTCACTGACATCAAGGTGGCTAAAGCAAGTTGGACCAATTGACATTAGTGGAAGTGAACAATGAAGGCCAATACCAATGGTGTTGCAGCAAGCGAAACAGACGAAGAGTGTCGAATCTTTTTCCCCAACGCCAGGCAGAGCTGTCTTCCAGACAGTGAAGAAGAAGGCCAAGGGCCCGCACTGCGGTGACTGCGGCAAGGCCCGAAAAGCACTCAACTGCAAGCAGTAACAAGTGCCACGCTACTAGGAACAAGTGCCTTACTGCAATTGAAACTGTGTGAGCTTGAAATTAAACCGGATGCCCCCTGAGAGCGATGGCCTCCAACCTAACAGCGATGGCATCCAAGCTAAGAGCTTGATAATGAAACAAGACCTCCTTGCCAAATGAAAGCGTTGCACCCTCGGAAAGCGAACAATTTGCGCTCTGGGACACCTAAGTCTTTCCCATACTTAGAAGTGATCTACAAATGCCTGAGAACGTTTTGTGTTGCCTGTTGTTTTCATTATTCTTTCTTTCTTCAGAACTTCATGAAGCGTGTTGCTTGTTCTACTTGAAGCTCGCTCTGCGCTGTGGGAGAGGCCTTGATTGGACTTCCAAGGTTGCGCCCTATTGAGCCTGTGGCCCAGGTGGTGCCATAGGATTTTAATTAGAGACCGGTAGCGGGCTCCAACCTAAGAGCATGGCCTCCAGCCTAATAGCGTTTCTTTGTGGGTCTTTGTCCCGTACCATTCTATTTATCCTTTTGACCTTTGCTCTCTTCCTTTCCGTTGTTACTTAAAGACACCGGAAGTCACCTATTTGCATTGGATGCACCTGACCAAGGTACGCCAGGCTCAAGAAGCGCGAAAAGCGTGTGAATCGCGCCTATGGTGGATCTCGTTGTGCGGGATGTGCCAGAAGCCCTAGGGTCAGGGAGGATTTTGGGCCTTCTGCCCACGCCTTAGGGAACGGACTTTGTATTTCCACGAACAGCTACGAACCAGAACGGGGTAGTCGTGAAGAGTGCATGTTGTAGAAACACTTTCTGTTCAGGAAAACGTTAAGTTTAGACCCTAAAGCCATTCAGAAAACAACTTTCTTAGTAGCCAGCTTGTTCCTAGCATGCAGGATCTTCCCGAATTGATGAACGTTGTTGCTTCCATGCTGGTTAGACGTTGGGATGGCTCAGTGTTTTGCTTCCCGACTTTCATTGCCTATCATCCTTTCTTGACTGAGGTCCGCTCTCGAATTGTCCGCGCATTCTTGATTGAAGAGCAGAAGTGCGTTAAGCAGGCTCCGTTCCCGAACTTGCCGGATCAAGAACAATGAAAATCACAGGTCCTGGGAAAGCCTGCACCATCCAAATATGACATGTGACATGTAACTGTACATTCCGCATTCCTTCTCTTTTTCTCAATAGCATACAAAGCCAACCTAATAGCAAACTATTTTGGACCTTTCTTTTAGTT